GGCCTCTTAAACTTTACATGTTCAGTGGTTTTGTGGAGGAGGCTAATCGATCTTACGAGAGGAATTCGAAGGCCCATTTTAAAATCCGTTTAAACAAAGACGCCAAAAGTGATTTAATCGTTTGGCTATCGTTCTTGGAGCAATACAATGGTCGCACATTTTTTCTGGATGAAAGAATGTCCGCTTCACGATATGAAATTACTTCAGATGCAGCTGGTTCTAAAGGATACGGGGCTTTATTTAAAACACATTGGTTTTATGGTAGTTGGCCCGAGTCTTGGCAATCACTGAACATCACGGTATTAGAATTGTTTCCTATCGTAATTGCGTTACATATATGGGGGGATCAGTTGGCGGATAAATGTGTGACGTTCGTGACCGATAACGCTGCCTTAGTGGACATAATCAATAAGCAGACGTCTAAATATAAGATAGTTATGATTCTCATCAGGGATATGGTGTTAACTACTCTTAAATTCAATATTTTCTTTACGGCTCGTCATCTTCCAGGGAAGCTTAACGAGCGCGCCGACTTAATCTCCCGTTTTCAGACAGAGCGGTTCAAGGCAATATCCCCTGGAATGGACGAATTCCCAACGCCAGTTCCCGAGAACCTTCAGCCCAGGAATTGGTCGCTCAGTTGAACGAACTTCTCAATTCTAGTCTAACAGCCAGATCTCAAAAAGCGTATCAGCGTGCGTGGACGTGTTATCAGCAGTTTCATGCTAGATTCTACAGTGCTTGCAAAACCTACCTAATCCCTGTGTCAATTGACGCCTTAGCCTTATTCATTTCGTACCTTAGCTCCAAAAAATTTGCCGTTGCTACTATTCACTCATATGTCTCGGCCATCGGTTATGTTCACCGTCTTAGGGGTATTGGTGACCCAATGAAATCCTTTTTGATACAAAAGCTGTTGACGGCAACTAGCCGAAATAGAGTTTCCGATATCCGACTGCCAATATCACGTCCATTACTTCACCAGTTAGTAAGTTCGCTGAGTTCGACTCATTCCTCGGCGGCACAAAGGAAGCAATATGCTGCAATGTTTACGACAGCTTTTTATGGTTTCTTTCGCATCGGAGAGCTAGCGGCCAAGAATGTGGATTCGGGTGGGGATGTTCTGCAATATGACGATCTTTGTTTTATATCATCAAACGGGCGCATAAGTATGGCCAAGTTGACAATACGCAAATTGAAACACAACACAGCGAATAAAGCCTTTGAAATCCTAATCACAAGAGAAAATTCTGTGTTAGTTTGCCCAGTCCAAACACTACTTGATTACTGTGGCATGAGAGGCGCTGCTCCTGGTCCTCTATTTTGTGAAAGTGATCTGCGCCCGGTCACCATCAGCTCGTTCCATATTGCATGAAAACGTTGCCTTGTTTTTTGTGGTTTAGACACGAGCCGTTACAAAGGCCATAGTTTCCGCATTGGAGCCGCAACTCACGCTTCCGAGCAAGGTTTCTCTGATTCCCAAATTCGCAGACTTGGTCGCTGGCAATCTGATGCGTTTAAATCGTACCTCCGTTCAGGTGCTTTGTCGGCTAATGCCCAAAACGATTTAAGCTGCTAATTTTGACGTCCCTGATCTAGTTCAGACAAGGGCTGCTATTTCATGGGCACGCGAATTTATCCTTTCTAAATACTCTAGAATAGTTCAGTCATGGGCTGCTATTCTTGCTAGATTAGGGCTATCAATCATTTGCTTAAGGCTTAGTGTTAACTGTACACAGTATTAAGCCACACGTTGCAAGGCAAAGGTTTGTTCAGACATGGGCTGCGGACTAACTGTCTTCTTCACGGGTGGCTAAACTATCCGCGCTTGGATCTAAGTTTAACGTTACAATTTTACAAAGCATAGGTCTGTTCAGACATGGGCTGCAGGCCGCTGCTTTTCTATACGATAGTCCTATTTGTACATGTTGTTCAAGCATGGGCTGCGACGTCCTTTTGCATTTATTTGCCAGTAATCGCTTTTCGCGTGATCTGTTTGTTGGCCGGTGGGGTGGCCACAGGTTTGTGGCTTATGGCGGGTTTTCCCCCCACCTTTGATGTTTGAGATCTAACAAGTTACAGTTTCTGTATATTCAATGTTTATCATTTATTAAACCGTCACGCTGGTGGCATATTTACTCCAAATCCTAGTAGTTGTCATCTCTCTGCGCATCAAACTAGGCGCCAACAAACAGATCACGCAATTAGCTTTGTACACGATGATTGGCCCTAAACAAAAAACTCCCATTAAGCTAATGGCTTAATGACATTTTTGTGAAGGGCTAATTTCCTGGTTGTTTGTCTTATCTGCATCTGGGATGGAGATAGGGAAATAGTTAGAATTCCTTGCAGGCTCAAATCATGCAATCAATGCTTTGTGATTCATTGTTGGTTCAGATAGAAACGCAGGAACATCGTCAGTCCTTGACTCAATTTTCCCTCTGCCTTCCCCGGTACTCCATCCCGGCTGTTTTTTGGGTCATTTCGTAATGATGTTTTGGCGGGTTTTTCCCCCACCTTTGATGTTTGAGATCTAACAATTAGATATAATCGTGTAAAGTTTCCTTATCATTTTCGCATAAATTATGACCTAAATTTGGAAACCGCTGAATTTCTCGAATTGGGTCTTTGCGATTTTGGTGAATCTCTGTTCAGCGCAGGGCACTAATGCGCACTATGTGTAGCCGAGAGATTTTCACGAAAAAATGCCGGCAACAGCAGATTTTCGACTCAGACCTCAAAGGGGCGTGACATTATAACCACGTGACATTTACTCCGACCGCCAAAAATTTTATGTTATATTGTAGATTGATCTATATGTTATCCATTCTATGTGTTAGACTTACGATAAAAGTAAAGGTGGGGATACCAGAGAGCTTCAAAGTAGGATGGTACCCCCCCCAAAAAAACTGGGTCGAGTTACCTTAAGTAATGGTCCAGCTAAGAAGCAGACAGAAAAACAATAGCCCGCGGCAGTAGCGTCAGTTATTTTTTAGGCGCTAATTTCTCTAATCAAATTAAATCTGAATGCTCTGATTGGTCAATGCAGCGAAAAGCGCGAAATTTGAATCTTAGAGTTGAATTAAGATAGCTTAACACTCATTCGAACAACTTTTTATTTCGTCTATTGCTTTGTTATGTTGAAAAATATAACACATCTAAAATTTAAAAGATTTCTATGCGCCAAACCCGAGGAAGTTAAACTGATATGAAATTACATGAAGATGAGCACAGTGTTGCATCAATCAGCGACCTTGCGAACAACATTTATGTCGGCCCTCACAAAAGAAATGTCAAAACCATGATCCTAAACAGCAGCAATTCACTCTCACGTGGCGAATCTGGCGAACGCGCCAATGTCGCGCGTTCATATTTGGCCACCATACAGAACAACAACAAGTACACAAAATCAAATCTAAATTTTATCTAAATGTTCTACATTTAAAAAAAAAGATGATGTTGCCCAGATAGATAAAATTTCCTGCGTGTTCGGAGAATCGGGTTTCAGAAAAAGCTCTCCTACAGTTTATCTGTTTACAAGGTTTTGATATTTACCCCATAAAAATCCTTCTTACAGTCATGCTTGCTAGATCTTCCGTACGAAGAGAAACTCAAACACCAGTGACAGCTATTTATATGATACCTAAGCGACTTCCTTCTCAGAACTCAAGGGTACAAAATGCAAACTTGTGTCACCACTTTCAATTCGTTCATTTTAATTTAAGGTGCACGGTGAACTTCCATTTCTCTTGATGAAGCAGTCTAGAGAGAAAAAAAAATTCGAATGAGAGATAGGCAAAGATACACGGAATGTGGAAGTTTCGAAAAGGGGAAACACAAATGAATGACACATAATGCGCGCGGAGGTGCGAAAATCTATTGAGCCTCCAGCTTACCTCAAGCTCAAGTGTTCTACATCTCTTCGAGAAATAAATTCATCCTTGTAAAAACAGCAAATCTTTCGCTTTCTCCTTGTATGCCCAGCTGTACTCCAATCTCTAGCGCCACAATTATTCCGATCTCCTCCTGATCCGGCCTAACAACCAAAACAACTACTGCGCCGGGCCCAATGTCCACACGGCGACCCGGCATGTCGAGGACGGCAGCAAACCATGTTGACGAGTATTTTGACGATCACTCCGATGATAAAAGACAGTAAATTTGAAATAAATATTCAATAAAGAAGAAATACAGATTTTTAAAGAAGAAATTGACGAGAGTTCTTCGGGTAAAAGGCAAATTTCCCAACATCTCAAGTGTCACATCTAAGATGGGGTCACAACGAGGTCGCACGTGTGTTGCACGTTTTCCGCTCTAACTTTTGATTGGCGCAGAGAACAATGCTGAAACTTAGCCGTGAGGCCATGTTGGTGTCCCAAACCGGTCCTGTGGGAGTTGAACTCTTTTCTTATGCAAACGCTTTCTTTTGTTCCAATAGATTTGCATATATGTTGGCCACGGGAAAACACTCTATAAGACAGGGGAATGCGGAAAATAAAGCTAAAAAAAGTTGTTTTTGTCACGTTTCTCACTGTTTTTTCGGCGAGTTTTGGATTTCGGCCAATCAGAGCGCTTGATTTAATTGAAAATAATGATTAAAAGTTAGCACCTTTTAATTACTTTTGCCGTTGGCCTGTCTACCTCTTATACGGACCATTACTCAATAAACATTGTTAATAAGAGAAGAATCTGTGTTCGAAGCTTACATTTTCAGTCGCAAATGACCAAAGAATGCATGCAGTAAATATCGGTCTCAAACAAACTGGATTTGACAATTTTTCAGGGAGACAATGTTGCCGCCTTTGCCAGGAGGTTGTGCTCTCGCCGCAATCGCTTCGGCCCCTGCTAGCATCATAAAGTGTTAATTACCTCTTTGTCCACAACCAAACCTGCTGATTATTAAATATTTCAGTATCATGTTATTCTCGAAGGGTGTATTCAAGGCCAGGTCAAGTAAAGGTCACGCAAGGAAGAGTGTTGTCGCCATTTTGATTGCAGTCATGGTTTATCGAGCGTCTGCTCTCCAACGCTTAGCCATCGCTCAGATTGTGTTTGGTCCTTTAATGATGGTATCTAATGTTGCAAGCATTTTCGCTGTACGTCACTGGTCTTCCTACATTGGCTTTGGAATATGGATCGGCATTTGGGTAAGCAATTAAAACTAGAAGTTTAAAAAGGCGCGCAATTTTTGTAGTTCAAGCTAAAGTAGGATTCATGACATTTTTCGTTCACTTTGGGTGGTTTGGTGTAAAACTGGGGATAAAATACAAAATGGATGTTTGTATACAAGTCTACTATTGGCTTTTACTATCTGCAAGTCGTTGGTTCTATCTTTGTTCTACAGTGAAACCTATTGTTGCCAACCTGTATTAAACGGACACTTGTAATTAAACTTCACTGCCCAATATGTCAGATATCATGGACAAGAGGACGTTGCGCTGGCCATTTACAGTCAAGGCAGGTAAAGCGTACCCCCCAAGTTTCTATTAATGAATTGATTATTTGAAAAATTCGTTCCCGAAACTAGTGTCAAATTCAAATCGGCGTTCCTGCATGCGTTTTAGATCATATACCCATGTATTTTGCGGTATATAAATAATAGAGTTATGCGTAATGAGCAGTGAATATTTTACGAGAACTTCTCTGTATTTGGTCAGATTGAAAATCTTTGAATGGATTAAATTTCTTAGAAGACATTTACATTAAATTCAAGGAAACTGAGCTGGTAGAAATTTCGTAACTGAATCGCGTGCGAATTCACGGCTCATTACGCATGCAAGAATGCATAGACGAATCTGAAATCTACAACTACCAACGGATTAAACCTTCGAATAGTAAATTCATCAATGGGATCTTGGGGGTACGCTTGACCTGGCTTGACTGTAAAGCAAGGCAATAACTTGCTCCAGAAAATGAAGTGTAAGAGACTCGAACAATCATGAATTGATAACTTTTATCCTTAGAGCCCTTACGAAACCAGCAGATCTGTTCCTCTTACGAAAAACAGACCTACTGCAGACTAATTTTCTGTCTGCAGAGTCTGTATTCAGTCTGTGCAGACACTTGTGCCTTCATCATCTTCAAAGATGTTTTCCTGCAGATGAGAAACAGATGAAAAACAGATCTGCACATGCCGGTGATCTGTTAAGTCTGCAGAGTCTGCAAGCCGTCTTTAGCGCGCGTGTTCATCAATTCCAAACAACTAAGACTCTCCGGCCGGGCCCGTCCGCTGGTTTGTCAATAAATTCAAACATTGGCTACATCCAATTTATCATAAGAAAACGTCGGGAAATTAATATACTATCTTTTTATTTCATTCACTTATGAACAGACTTATGTAGCTATCAAAGTACGTTCATGAATGCTGCCGGTAAATCAGTTCCACTTAGGGTGCGTTTCTTTACTAAAATCAGAGATAGGATCAAAAACCCCGATCATTAGGATTTTTCGCTTAGAAACTAGAAACGATATATCCAAAGAAGGATTGTTTTTCATTCATTTCCATAGAAACGACCTACAATATCGACGATATCCTTGAGAAAGAATAACACGCCCGCTGATGTTGCAAATTTGCTGATCTTTCTTTGTATTCTGGACGGTTAGCTCAAGGATACTGCTTTACACCGGCCAAGTGAAGATGAGTCTTGAAATAAGATATCTGCTGGAAAACTAAAATATTGCAAGACGCGCCGGCGAAGTTGTGTTACAGTTTTGTCTCGATTTGTCCTTGTGAACAAGAACAATGCAGGTCCTGTTTGTATTGCGATTTACCATCCCGATAAAACTGATAAAATCGATCATTTAATCCATGTCTCGAGTTCAAAAATGGCCGTAAAGATGAACAGTGTTGTCAAACAGCTGCTGTATGTTTTAAAGTTGTTTGGAGTTACCGCCGGCTGTATTCACTCTTTTCGGATCCGTAGTAAAGAAACGTTTCGGATCATGTATCCAAAGTATCCGGTTTCGGATATGACTCAAAGAATCCACTTCCGTTGTGGCTCATTTGGATCAATAATCCGTTTTTCGATTTTAGTAAAGAAACGATAGATCCGTTTTCGGGTTTTAGTAAAGAAACGCATCCTTAGTAACTGTTAACATGACTGAGTACTTAACAGTTTTACACAGCAACATTGAACGAACGCCATGTGCCTCAGTCATTCTTTATTGCAGTTAAACTTAACTCAAAATAAAATCTTACAGACGTGGAGTTTTACATGTAAATTCAAAATAAATCTCAAAAATTTGTTCTTTGGAGACCTTCCGTGACTGATACTCGATCAACTAATTCCCTGGACACAATCCAGACCAGAACTTAATCTCATTCACCTTCTGAGCGTCAGATTTCAAGTGTAGTTTCACGTGACTTTTGATGACATTTGTTGTAAAATTGGGACATCCGTTCTCTGCCACATACTGTACTTGTACCAACTACGAGTCGCTATTTCAAGTTCGGTTAATTTATAAATGTTATTTTCTTTTCGCTGTTTGAAACTCGAAAAGTTTAAGGTTCAAAACTGTCTAAATAGAAGAATAAGAGCGATTTTAAGGCCGAGAGCATGGCAGAACTGCAGGAACTAGGAGTGCGTGCAGTGGAAATTTCCGCCTCAGCAGCTGAAATGGTTTTTACAATGGAACTAAACTTCGAAAGAGATAAAAACGGGGATGTATGCAAACTTCATAATACATACATAATTCACATTTCAAAATTCATGATCACACGTGATCACACGCTATTAATTTCCAATCCACTTTCGCTAAATAGACCGTTTGGCCATTTGTTGTTTGACATTATAGTTTTAATTGCATATTACGGCAAAAAGGGACTCGACGCTCTTGATGACAGTTACGTTGATTATTTACTAACTGCTAAGTTGAATCAAGAGTCTGTTCACATATCTGTAGCAAAAAAGTGCAGTGAACATGTACTGGGTTTGTATTTAATCGTGTAGAGACAATCGGAGGGCAGGCAGTGTACTAATCAGACAAGATAAGCATAAGCTTACTTATATTTTTACAGTCAAGCCAGGTCAAGTGCACCCCCCAAGAGTTGAATCCGTTATTAGTTGTAGATTTCAGATTCATCTCTGCACTCTTGCATGCGTAATCAGCCGCGAATTCACACGCAAGGCAGTTATTAAATTTCTGCCAGCTCAGTTTCCCTGAATTTGATGTAAATGTCTTCGAAGTAATTTTATCCATTCAAAGATTTTCAATCTGACCAAAGACAGAGAAGTTCTCGTAAAATATTCACTGCTCATTACGCATGCAGGAGTGCCGATTTCAATTTTACACTAGTTACGGGAACGACCAACGGATTCATTTTTCAAATAATCAATTCATTAATGGAATCTTAGGGGGTACGCTTGACCTGCCTTGACTGTAAAAAGGCAGTCGAGACGAAAATGCAAGCGCACTGCAGTGTCATGAATTATAAGTGTGTCTGCGTCATTAGTTTCATTTTATCCAAGTTTAGATCCACCGGGCAAAATCATTCTTTCAAGTAATGGATCAAGCATGAGACGCAGTGTTTCATTATACACTTAATGTCAGATCCCAAGGGAAACAATTAGTTTTGTTTTCCCGAGAGTCCTGATGTTTCCCGACACGAAGTCGAGGGAAAAATCAGGACACGAGGAAAAACAAAACTAACTGGTTTCCCGAGGGATCTGACGTTAAGTGTTTTGTTATATTTCTAGACTTTCACTTCAACAGCAACAAAAGAATAACCAGAGCGAACGAAAACGAACCAAAACAGTCGACTCGGTACTTACAACGACACATTCTCAAAACCACTGAATGAATGATTTACAAACAAAAGTACTTTCCTTATATCATCTGCATTTTTTCCCTCCACTAGCTGCTGTTTTTCTTCAGGGAACTTCAGGGATAACTTTAAAAATCGTTGCTTTTTAGCTTGAGGCTTCGTGATTGTGTTGTTGTGTTCATTCACGAAAAAGAAAACTGGCAGGACCTGGCGGTGTTTTCCCGCCTTCTGTCACGCCACTTTCCACCATGCTTTGATCACGTGCTGCAATGTATCCCGAGCGGGATACATTGTTTAATGTATCACGATCGGGATACATTTGATTTTAGTCAAGGCCACGTGACCAAGAATCAACCAATGGCAGTCCCTGTTTAGTTGAGTGAAATTCTAGGAATATAACAAACCAGTTGAAACACCGAGAAGAGAGTTGAAAATACGACGCGCAGCGGAGTATTTTTGACGAATTTCGAGGTGTTTCATCCGGTGATGAAACACTGTGTCGAATGCTTGATATTACTTCTCAAACGAAATGATTTTTGGTGGAGAAATTAAGGATGCAAAAATGAGCAGTTTTTCGTCTGGTTTCCAAACACTCATTACTTCGGCGGAGCGCGAAGTAAAGGATTCGCGACGCTCAGGAATGTATCAAAGTTGCAATTTTTTGACAAGATTGGGCAAGCAAAGTCTGTAGGTTTTCGGCTCTATTCGGCTATTTGACCAAATGAGAGCCGAATTAGTTCGAGATATCTCGAGATCACTTCGATTTCTTTGATTTATTCTTTAACTTTTTCGAGGAAGAAAGAATTACTATTTTGGCTTTCCCGGGGTTTGAACCGACTCACCTGTGTGACCCGTCAGATCAGAGGGGACTCTACGTTGAGGGATTAACCGATTGCGCTACTGCGACGCAAGGTAGTTTGAGTTATGAAATTATGCACTAGTTTCGGGACAAGATTGGGCATGCAAGTTTGTGACTTTTCGGCTTGTTTCAACTATTTCACGAAATGAGACCGGACTACTTCGTGATATCTTGAGATCACTTCGAGTTTAGTCTTTAATTACTCGAGGAATAAATAGAGGATATTTCGTGGCCGCGCAGAGACACGAAATTTATCTTCGAGTGTTGAAAAACATTTCACGAGTGAGCCCTCCTTTCGAACTGTTTTATGAGGAATTTAATGTTACAAAATGCTGCAGAAAGACATTTTGTCTTTGTTGAGTGTTACGTAGTAAAATTGCTTTCATGCGTTGCGTGACTTTCTCGAACGTTCTCTACGTTTTTGGATTAGCCATGAATAATTAATTAGGGCATGTTTACATTTCAGCATGAGTCAGCAGATTTGCATCAGTTACTGAAATGATAAAATATGTCGAAAAGCTACTACTATTCGCCTGTTTAGTATTTTCTAGAACCTTATGTCAAACGGTATACGAGTTCCTAGCGAGTTCTTTTGACGAACTAACTTTTTTCCCACGAGCTGGACTGCTGTGTTTAGTCAAGTGCGACGAAGGGCGATTTTCAGGTTCTGTGTTTGCAAGTTCGCGGAAGCCGTAAGATAATATATCTGAAGTTCAAGTCAAATTTGTGTTGGCGGATGCTGTGTTTTAAAGCTCTGTAAAGGCTATGTTCCTTTGGTGTTAAACTTCCTTGTGTTAATCCGACATCCCTGCGTGCTGATAGTCAGTGAGTAATTATCCTCAAAACATTAGGGGTGACGAATGGCCTTTCAAAAATGTTGAGTCTCGGCAAATTTAAGCCGAGTCTCGTAATCTCGGCGCTTAAGAAAAGCGTCTCGGAATCTCGGATTTCCCAGAAATATGACGGTCTCGGAGTCTCGGATTTTGAAAATTTGGATCTCGGAGTCTCGGATTTTGAAAATTTGGATCTCGAAATCTCGCCAATGGGACGTTCAATTTTTTATCCGCAAGCTTATCCGAAACGAGAAATTAAGAAATTTACCCCTGCCGGGGTTTGTTTGGGGTCCATGCAGATATACGCGTGTGAAAGCCGCAAGATGCTGAATAAGTTTAAATAGCTAAGAATCATACGGGAGCCAGCGAGAAAGTTACGGAATTCTAACACTAGCTAACACTCATTGACCTACTTTAGGGACGGACCATTAGAAAAGTTATGGGGGGGGAGGGGAATTTTCGAGCTGCAGGAATTTTTTTTTGTTATCAAATTCCTTGTATGAATTTTTTTCAGGCCCTTGCATGAATATTTCTTAGGGTTTATTGGCGTGCAAGAATTTTTTTTCATTTAATTTTCCCTTGCGTGAATTTTTTTTTTGTACTTCGCCCGCCCCCCCATAAGTTTTCTAATGGTCCGTCCCTTAGCTTTCTTTAGGGTGTCACATGTAGCTACATGTCAACACACCGCAAGGAGTTTTTCACTCAGTAGGTGTTCAGCGAAAACGTAAAATATATTTTTTTAGTCCTTTCCTCAACAAAAGCTAACAGATAGAACAGTCTATCCGTCTGTCCATTGTCCTTCTATCCCAATCTTTTCACATTGTAAGACTGGTATAAGGTTGTGAAGTTATTCACCGAAAGCCTGCTTGCATGGTAAAATAACGCTCCAGGAACTGAGCTACTGTGGCTTGTTGCCAGATATAGTCCGAAGTACAACACTACAACATGAACTAAAGCTAACTAAGAGTCTACTAAGCTTAACTAACATAGCTTAACATGGCTGACACAAATAGCAAGCTCTGCGATACACGAATCGAACAAAACGCATCGTTCGACGACGTTGTTAAAAGCTACAAATAGAAGCTAATAGTCCGATCGACGAGCTGCGACGGTAATAGTAGCTAATAGTAGCAAATAGTAATGCACTTTAAGCTCTAAGCAAGACGATCTTATAACTTACCGTATTTGCGTTTAATTCCTTTCGTTGCTTCAAAACCCTCTTCTATTTCCTCTTCACTCTCTGCCATTTGCAGTAGTAGCTAGTCGACAGCCGATCGTTCGCAGATTTACGCGTGCCAGAAGCCGACAGATCAAGAGATCAGAAGCTATCAGAAGGCGTGTGAATTTTAAACCAGGCAGAATGTCGAATCATTAGTTTAACTAGTTTATAAAGTAACTAACCAGGTTAATAAGTAGACTATAAGCAGTAATGCGTTACTTAATACGTTTAATTTTATGTCTCTGACTGGTAGACTAGATAAGTTAATGGTTTTAATACAAAACCAATGTTTTGGGATGAGTGGAAAAATATTTGTTGTGATGCCCACAAAAGCTCAGAGCGCTGTATCTCGTATTTTCGGATCAAGTGCATCTCGGGCTCGGATTTTTGGATCACTGCGTCTCGGGCTCGGATTTTTTTAGCGCTAAGTCTGGGGCTCGGATTTTACAAACAAATTCAAGGCTCTTTTTAAACTAGGGTCTCGGCGTCTCGGCAAGGCTCGGATTTTACCATTCGTCACCCCTAACATTCGAACTCGTGACTTTAAGTTTTAGCCAATTCCATGCTCAACGTCATTGACTCCTTACCCATGCCTTACATATCTTTAATCAGTACATGAGACTGCTATGCTGTTTTTGAAGCCTGATGTGACTAAGAAAAATAGAGAATTGTTTTTTAGAAGGACTTGTATGGAGTCATCAGAGCATAAGTGGGCTAATATCGTGGAGACAATTTGTCCTGAAATGATAGTTTTTGGCAAGTAGGCCTCTTGGATGTTGCTCTTTCCAGAATATCCTGACAAATCCCATAATTTCACACCTTACTCTTACCATATCTGATTTCTTACTATTCCTCCGCATTTACAATTAATTAGTTCCACAACCACGACGCCGAAGTGTACGCTAGCTCCGTAGCGTCTTGTTAAACATTAATGAATGATTTTCCAGTAATCGGAGACTTAGTTATGCGCACAGGATTATGGGATCGCCAGGGGGCAAACATTGGAAATCGCTACAAAGAAATGTATGGCGTGGAGCTGTTTCTCCGTTTAAGACCAGTGTCTTTGGACAGAGAATGCCGCATTTTGCCGTGATTTTATGAGAAGCGGAGGTGACTAATGTTGGTGCGTTGATTGTAAGTTTTTGTGGGATCAATGCGATGAAATCTATCGATCATCGATAGATTTCATCGCATTGATAAACACTCCTTCTTGCAAAAGGTCGACTGTGAAATTTACTGAATGGTCTCGAAATATATAGTACCTAACTTACCAGGTATAAATGAGTGGGGAATGTGGACTCGTTTATTAAACCTTTCCAGTTGTAAGTACATGTGCTGATATTTACAACGAGTGTAAAAATTTTACGTTCGGCTCGGCGGCGATCACAACGCTGAGCCAGTTTGTGACAACGATCGAAGGTAAGCTTATGTATTGTCGAATTTGATATGTATTAACTTTAAAAGCAAAACATCTTCCCCACATTAATATATTGATTCCTTCTAGCCAAAAAAACACAAGCGAAATGTTTTGTCATGATCCAGAGCACCAATTAGTTCTAATGCCTTTTCTGATCATTTTGAGGGAAGATATAGAATCTCTGAATTTCGCACATCAACTTGGTATTTATTTACACGGCTCACTGCTTTTGTATCGGAAATCTTACTAGTTCGTACGATTTCTGCGTCATCTACTAATGGTTAAATACCATGTACTTTCCATGAAATATTTCGTAGATGTTACTTTGTTTATACCAAAGTAAAGGAGGATTTTTTATTTTTATGGCCACGTCCTACGATTGTTGAGCGTCATAACCCGCACAGAGCTGATCGCGGCCGAGCATAGTTACACTCGTTGTAAATATCACCACACGTTATTAAAACTAAAAAGCTTAAATGAGCCAATCCCCCTACATGTATACCTAAGTTTGCACTATATATTTCGAGACCTTTTCTTCATGTAGATCACTGTGTAAATTCAGTAAACGTAAATTTCACACTCAACCTCACGCAAGGAGTGTTTATCGATAGAATTTATCGCATTAATCACACAGAAACTTGAAGTTTCAACGCACCAACATTAGTCACCTCCGTTTCTCATAAAATCATGGCAAAGTGCGGCATTCTATGTCCAGAGACACTGCTTTTAACGGAGAAACAACTCCACGCCATACAATTCTTTATAGCGACTCGCAATGTTTGCCCCCTGGCGATCCCAAAATCCTGTGCGCAAAACATGAGTATCCGGTTACTGGAAAATCATTCATTTCCTTTGTATTTTCTTTATGAATTATTAATGAGTTTGAGAACTGCAGATCAAGAGGAGATTTCCACGCGCTTGTTAAAATTCTATGTTTTGGGAAATATGTTTTCTGTTTTACCACACTCGAGGCGGTTAAAGTCACTCCTGATGTTCTGCTTTGACATTTTCAACCTTAAACTATTCGATTTTAACCAGTGAAAGGGAAAATATATAAGTTATCGCGAACTTGAAATATCGACTCGTAGTTCGTACAATACAAAGGTCATCAAAAGTCACGTGAAACTACACGTGAAATCGGACGCTCAGAAGGTGAATATGGTCCGCACTTTACTAAAAGATGGCTTATGTTATTCGACGAAACGAAACGAAACGAAACAAGTACTGTAATTCTTTAATTCTGTAATTCTGTAATTTAATTCTCGAAATGGGAATCTGTAACTTGTGAAATGAGTCATTAGCAGTTGGGTCAATCTATTTACAATTTATTTGCGTTCGAGGTACGAGAACGCAACCCCTAAGTTGTGTTGGGTGTTCTGTGCATTATTGGGCGTCCTGTGCAATTAATAAGGTAGGTTTTTCCAAAATTGTATTCGTCGTCGTCGACACACATTTACCTCGCTTTGAGGCGCTTGCCTACGTTTTGCCTCACTTTGACGCGCTAATTCACGTGGTGATTCGCGTGTCCTCTGCCTTCATCTTTCAAACGTTTGCTGAGGTCTGCTATTCTGTCTTCGTAAATCGTTCATCTTTTAAAAGTGTGCTGAATCTTCGTAAAGCGTACATATTTAAGAGTTTGCTGAAGGTCTACTATCGATCTGTGTTTAATGAATCTTCCAAAGCGTTCATCTTTCAAAAGTGTGATGAAAGTTTACACCCTGAGTAAAATTTTACTTTGGATAAAGCCTTCATATTTTTCCGTTGTACCACAAAGTACATTTACCGGTGAGTTGTGAAGCTAAGCTTCTGTTGTGCCACAAAGTAAATCTAGTGAGTTGTGTAGCTAGGCGGCCGTAGTGCCACAGAGTAAATCTACCGAGTTGTGTAGCTCGGAGGCCGTTATTCCACAAAGTAAATCTACCGAGATGTGAAGCTCGGCGGCGGCCGTTATTCCACAAAGTAAATCTACCGAGATGTGAAGCTCCGCGGCACCGCCAGTTCATCCTGATCATGACTAGTGATATTTTCGGCACTGGACAAACGAACATTTTAGCTGTATGTGATTTATTCGGAAAAAACGTGACCAGCCCACAGTAGCGCCACTGAAATCAATACACTCGACCAAATTACTGGAAAATTTATTGACGTGAGCAGCACACACATTCCGCTGAAGGCTTTGATGATTCGAAGAAACGTGTGAAATTGAGAGGTGTAGTGTAAGTGAACCGGTGTTCAAGCACAATGTCTCCTCAAATAGCAAGCACTTGAGACGAACCATACGATATCACGCTGATCACAAGCCTTTAAAACCTTTTCATTATGATACACAGTTTAAATCGAGGTTTCGCTGTACGCAACCCTTACGTTCAAAATATGCCATAATCATAGTTATCTATCGCAAGAACCATCCACCCTTTCCCCTCAACTGCTACCTGTACACCTTGCAAACAAATCGAACGCACTCTCCTAAGCTACGATTACTCCTAGTTATAATAATAATAAAAAAATTCAATGTACATGACATATTCATGTAAACAACATGAACACTCACATCTGAAATTAAACTTTTTACCCATCTCATCTCATCGTGGAAGTTTTAAACTGTTTTAAATTACAGTGAGCCCTACTGGCTTAAATCCTGGATACCGCCGGTGGCATACTAATTATATTTTGATGAACTGCTGGCCAGTTTTGTCTGGAAGAATGCGTGATGCTTTCTATCTCCTGTCACGTGTATCTCTTTTGGCGGGAAACTTGTGCGTATTGCAGCCAAGGAAGCATCACGACCGCGAGAAACAACCATTCTTAAAGGAAGCGCGGATCCTGAAATCGATGCGTAACAAACACATGGTTGTGATGAAAGCTGTGTGCGAAAATCCTCTTGCCATGATGCTAGAGTACGTGTTTTTCGATTTTGCACCATTCGGACTGGAAGGTCGTGTAAGTTTTTGGCGATTTGTTTTTGATGATGGTTTTTCATCGTCGATCGAAACGAGTTAAAATGTTTTCTGAAACGTTCGTTGCAATTTACCTATATAAGCGTGATAGTAATACATCGAAACGTACATGTTTCCTTATACATAATTACTTGAAAGAGAAAACTCGCAAGAAAAAAAAAGTGTTGTAATTAGTTAATATTGGTTGTCCCCGTCTTAAATGTAACTCATTTATGCCTTTTGACGGATGCTTAAATTAATAAAACACACCACTGTACTTGTTTAAAGTCTGTTTTTGTTGCGCTTGGTCGTCGACGTCTTGCCGACGTAGCTCAAGAAAGCCTACTTTTTGAGATCATTGTTTAGTCAATTACCAACTAAGCCCCCTTTAATATTTTGCGAAACAAAAGAAGAAGAAGAATTGTTTAGGAGCTGAGTATTTTCCCCGTTTTATGAAGCGATGTCTACTTTATCTGACAGGGCATATTTTATGAAAAGAATTTGGGATCTTCGTCAAATTACTGAGTCTTAGGCGTTGGTTTTTACCGTCGCGTTGGAACCGCATTCATACGCGATCGAGCAATTGCGTTTCCTCTCTTATAGTTGCAAAGATAGTTTCGTTTCATTTCGTCGAATAGAAATCTTCCTCTTCGGGACCCCTTTTCTGATTGAATGAAATATTCAAACGTTCTCTCGCCAGCTAAGCAAGCTATCTGCGTTCAGTTTGTATTCAAAAGGTTAAAAAAGGTTTTTAGCTGTTTTTAGAGCGAAGGTGGAAAAATTATTCGTAAAAAATCAACTGTGCCTCAAGCGACTTTCAATTAATGGGAACAGACGAAGCTTATGCTTAGCTAACATTACGTTGCAAGAGTCTTGCTCGAAGATTATTTGCCCAAGTTATGTTTGTTCGTTTAGTCCATCACCTAGTACATAGCGACAACTGAAGCACAAATGGATTGCTCCTTTCATAAAGAAATGTAACTCACCTTGGATCATGGAGGAAACGACGAGGTGAGCGATTTGAAGTAAGGGACGGACCATTAGGAATAACCGGAGGTGGGACAATTCCCAAAAAAAAATTCCTGCAAGGGGAACTTGTCTAAAAAAAAATCCTGCGAGCGGTGATACGTAAAAAAAAAATTCTTGCAGAGGAAGCGACATGCATAGCATTTTATTAAGGCTATTAAAAGTATGGAATAAGGGGTATAGGGGGGAAAAGGTAACATAAAACAATGCCTAAAGATAAAGAGAATTGAAAGTCTTAATTTGTGCTTCAGAACTTTTATTTGAAAACCACTGTTTGATATTTCTTCATACAATAAAACATAAATAGTAATGGCTTGCTTTCTACACAGTCATCATTACCACTGATATTGCTATCACAAATAATAAAACTATAAAATCTCTCTCTTCAGATATAAAATGTACTTCAAAATATTTTTGAAAGAACATTAAGTAATATAAGAAATATAACAGTTTTCTCAGCTATATAACTAGTTCGGTCAATTTCTGGTTAGGCTAGTTGTTTTTCTCAGTGATGACGAGCTGATTTTCTTTTTGCTGTTTGAAACAATGATTTCTCAAGCTGTGAATAAGTTTTGAGCCATCTGGAACCTTTCAACGTTTCAAATTTTCCTTTTTTTCGGCAACTCAGCCGCAGTTTTCTCATGTTAGGTCGAGGGTCTGAATTGGGGGGTCTTCTTGTCGGTTGTTGGTTAAAATTCAGTTATTCTGTCGGTAGTCGGTTAAAAATTTCGATCTTTGTCGGTTGTCGGTAAATCTCAGTTAATCAGTAAAAATGCATGCTAATTATTGATATTTGCTATGCATTTTACTCACTTTCAAGACTTTGCAGTGACTTTGATCCCTAAAAAACGTGTAAAAAATGTAAAAATGCATCATTTGATTGACTTTAAACTTCATATTATATAGCACCGATAAAATCATCAAAGCTTTTATTGCTAATGCGAACTTGGTTGCGAACTTGGTTTCAAGGTACCGGGGTAATACATGTAGTCTCTTTTATTTCTGCAGAATGAAGTGGAGGGGGTGGGGGGAGGGGGTGCAACTGAGGCGCCAAGTGCGAATTAATTTTGATTACTGAACAGACACACGGCAAAAAGGAACCAAGTGGTAAACTATAATAGGTGATTCTCTTAGACATTATATTATGATATAAATCTTACGAAAATCGTAGATTAGTTACAAAGGAAGAAATGTGTGGGAAAAAAAAAATTCGTGCCAAGCTTGTGCCTCAGAAAAAAAAATCCTGCAGACAAGTAGGCTTAAAAAAAAATTCATGCACCGAAAATTTTTCATCCCCCCCGGTTATTTCTAATGGTCCCTCCCTAAAGCGGCGCGTGTTACAACAAACCAAACCGTCGAGTTGGAACCGCATTCATACGCGATCGAACAATTGCGTTTCCTCTCTTATAGCTGCTGACAAAAATCGTTCTTTGTTATTGAGCTAGGTTATTTCAATGTCAAAATTTTGATGTGTTATTTATTTAAGAAATTCAAGTGAGTGACTGTGACCGTGTGTTTACAGGCCAGACTGTTTTGATTTAATTTTGTTTGTTATACCCGCGGACAAAAATAGCGCTTTGCGCTATTACTTAAAACAGGTTTTGTCACCTTAGACCCCCCGCGTGACTCAGACAAACTTTGCATTCAACTCAAAGGCTTTGTATGAGCAACATGCGTTTCCGACATGAAAATTGTTCATAAAATTCGCAATGAGCGTTTTTAAAATGTTTTTTGAGCTTTATTCTAATATATAAAAGGCATTACTGCGATAGGGGGCAAAACCTGGTCCAAGTAACTCAAATAAATGGTTAAAATTAGAAAATAAAGCGACCTGATCAAAGTAAGCTACTGAAATCGGATCCCTAGCTCTGTCTTAGGCACATAGCACTCTATGCACCGAAACATGATGTAACTTTTCTGGCTGTGTAATACTCCAAAACCGAAATTGCTAAAGAGAAAATCGGGTTTGTATGTGCTTCTCGCAAGCCCGTGGCAGAATTTCTAAACTGAAAAGCACACCAACATCAGCACAAACCGGTACGTATAATGTGCGGCCAGGTAGGTACCATACAGTACTTTATATCGTGTAGTAATAAGTAGCGTAATGTAAGCACTCGAAAAAAAAAATTGAGCAACCTTTGCCTATTTATTTAACCAAATGCACCGTTTTATGAACAGCTTTGAAGCTCTGCTCTCCATACATTTCTTAGTAAAATGCTGTAACATAATTTTACCCACAGTAATGCGCATAAGAAATATAATCACTCATCGGTACAGTTTTTTCCATGTTTAACATTATCTTGGCACACGTTGATTATTTTCAGAATATATGTTAACGAGACCAAGCTAGATTTTGTTTCTTTTGACGATAAAAATCTTCAAAGACGACGAAAATTTGTCGAGGAATGTGACTTATACTGGTCAGGTTCAATGTCTGAGTCACAGCGGGGACCAGAAATTTGTGACGTCATTAGTGCAAAGCGCTATTGTTAGAGGGTCTCAATGGGGTGGTGGCTTTTACGGTTGTCGGCTAAAATTTTGGCTCTTTTACGGCTATCGGTTAATTTTTTTCAGTTGCGGTTAACAAAAAAGTTAAAAATTAATTTCTTTCGTTTCAACTAGTTAAATATTAATTAAACTGTATTTTTTATACCTTTAAAGCGAAATAAAGGTGTTCGGATCATCTCGGGATGAAATAAGGAATTCTTTTGAAAAATTTTAACATTTGATAGATCATACTTTTTATAAAGTATTCCACTTCTAATATCATTTTACACAAAGAAATGTCAATAGTCAAATTAAAAATAGTCTTTGTGAAAAAGCGAAAGCAGACACGCGAACGCCCAACTCAAGGCCGAGGCGCGACATTCATTTAGAGAAATAGCCGTTTCACCCCAGAGACGGATTATTCGTGTGAGACGGGTTATCCGTTTGATGATTCGCGTCAGAAAGGTAATACGCCTTAATTTGAAAATGGAATAGTTTTAATTTTGAATGAACAATCCGCCTGACTATCCATCAATTTTGACGGACGGTTTGAAGATATAGAGAATACTTCATGGAAAGCGCTGGCGTACGGTATTTACACACGAGTTGTTTTTGTATCAGAAATCGAACGAGTGAGCGCAGCGAACGAGTGAGATTTCTGATACAAAAACAACGAGTGCGTGAATACCGTACGAAGCACTTTACATGTGGTATTGTGTTTATTATATACATACTGAGACATTCATCCTTTTGGCAGCCTTTTTGTTTTAAATCTTTCCAAAATGCTTAAATTTGCCGCTACACACCACGAAGGAACAATGAAAACGAAGTATCAGCTTTTTAGTAGAAAGGTTTCTTAAAAACAAAAATGACGGTGAGGATATGAGGTAATCCAAGAACTACAAGTAATCTTAACTGTTTGTTCTGAATGTACAATTGAAAATGAGTGAATTTAAGTAAAATGGCCGGTTTCAATATAAGCTTAAGCTTATAAATGGAAGACAAAGTAGCTCCGACAAAAAGCACAACATAAGCTTACGTCTTGTTCTGTTTTTCCCCTTCCGCAGTTGTTTCGCCGGCTCTCCACAGTTTTCTTTATCGACAGTGAAACAAACGAAACTATTCCACTCCATTTCTGAAATGTTTTTCACTTTTTTAACGAGAAAAAACTCTTTGAGAAAAAGTTTTCTCCTCGAATGTGTGCGAAGCGCCGCTCAGCAAGCTGCAAGAAAAGGCGGCAATTTTGGCGCGAAACTCACACACCTCCGTGGCTTCTGATTGGACGTATCATTTTTCTCACATGTGAAAAAACATCGTTCGCGATTCTGATTGGACGTATCATTTTTTTCACGTGTGAAAACCATAGTTCACTCCTCTGATTGGCTAGAACTTATTTGCACATCAAAATTTTCAACACAACTTTTTGGTGAGTATTTCTCAGTACGTACATAATAAGGATCATTTATTTCAGCGAACCTGTGTACAACCGCCCCCTCCCCTCAGAAAAAATCGGAGAAGGGGTGTCTGTGGGGGAGGGGGCGACTGTACACAAGCCAGTCTCAGACGGATAGTCCATTTCTAGCTCTAGTGTGAAAACAGCCAATAACAAAAATTCCTGTGTCCAATGTTCAGTTTTAATGATTGCGAAGGACTGTACAGAACGACTGTCTGCTGTTGACTTGTCCGTAGGCCTTATCATTCCGCGCGCCTAATGCGCCTCGGGTCACGTGGTCCGAGCGAGTTCGCCACCGAAATGCCTTGACCGAGTTTGCGTGGGAAGACGCCGTACAGGGACTAGGCATGGCAACGTCTACCGTAGCGTCGGAGAAAAACAGGAGATTGTTGTTTATCAGAAACGCGTTTTACAAACAGTGACATCTCTGCGTGTTGTTTCACTAGTGTTTCGAGGCCGCGACCTCCTGAAAATCGCAAATATTAATCCCCAGTGGGAAGCCACACTCTCGCTATGGAACAACTTACATGTAGTTCCCTGAGAGAGCGGCGGAAATAATGAAGTCTAGGTTTAGGTCACAACATAAAAGCGCTTGGCGTAACCTGCGTACGGAGTCACAGTACCCGGGAAATAAAAAATGCATTCCATAAGTGAGTTTAGCACCTTCCTTAAAATTATCAAATCTAGGGAACAATTTCCTCAGTTTACCTCTTTTTTACCTTATTTACGGCTAACGGTTGAAATTTTTCAATTTTTACGGCTATCGACTAAATCTTTGGCCGTTTTACGCCTATCGGTTAACCCCATTGAGACCCTCTTAATTGTTAATCGGTCAGTGTAAATGAAGACTGCGGACTGTGGACCTGGGGTAAAATGCAGAATTCAGACCGAAAGTGAAACGCGGGCTGGGTGCAAAATGCAGACCGAGCATAAACTGTAGTCGCGGAAGGGCTTAGGGCCAAAAAAATACCGCAAATACATGTTAACGATCGCCTACTTGACATCTGCTTTCACAAATCCATTCCTTTCTTCTCTGGAACGTCGTCAACGACCCGAAAACATAATCGCAATCTTGAACCTTTATTCCGCCGGCCCAAGAGACCTCACGCTTTAAATTTTGATACACGTGACCGTGAAATGGTACAACACTACAATGTTTACGCTTAAATAAAAGCTGCTGACCAAAATACTGTAGAAGGACTATTAATTATGGCGATAAAAAAAGGGAGTAAATGTTGGAGTAGATCATTCCAACAACAAAGAAAGATGTTCTGCGGGAACTTTGGATGACCGTCTATGAACGTATTGCAAATCAAGGTACGCAGACTTTAGCTGTTCGGATGTTCATTATCAAGATTCATTGAAACGTCTAGCGAATGTGCATCTCACTGAACAACAAAAGTGACTATACACTTTATACAATAAATCAACAGAATGCGAGGTTCACTTTAAAAACACCTGCAACTCGTCGTCCTCCATGTTGGTACTTTCCACGCCAAATGCTCAAAATGGCGAGTTGGTAGAATAAATGGCGGTTTACACTTAACATGCCTCTCACAGCAATGCATCCCTCGTCAATCGACCGTCAATCTCGTTTCGCCTTTCCACTGGACAAGGGTAACGGGGGTAACGCAGACTCTGGGTCCGACTTCCACATTGTTTTCTGCTTGTCATTTCTCTCATTTTCCCCCTAGTGTGGTCTTAAGATTTCTTTCTGCATTTTACCCCCAGCCTGCGTTTTACTCTCAGTGTGCAGTCTGCATTTTACACTCAGTCTGCATTTTACCCCTGGTCTGCAGTCCGCAGTCTGCGTTTTGAACTGACCGAATTGTTAATTGGTGGGATTCTCAATGTTCTCTCGTTTTAATTTTGCTGTTTGCATTGTTTATTACTAAAGTCATGATAGGCTTTCAGTTGTAGTTAACGGTTATCCTAGGCTTTTTCAGCGCAAATTGAGAGATTATTTCGTGTGCTTACGGTAAAAAAAGGTGTTTGATTGGTGCGGGTACGTCCGATATTTTGTTTCCTACTTATACCTCCTTCGTCTGCAGAACGTCTGCACAAATTGCATATCAGTTCTGCAGACATTCTGCAGATAATCTGTAGATAATCTGTAGACTATCTGCAGATCTGCTTCACCAGATCTGCAGCAGACAAAAAACAGATCCGCTCGTTTCCTACAGGAAATAATGCTTAATGTTTATTGCATCAGTACAATAAACAGCTTAGAAAGGGACATAGTTTTTATTCAATTTTATGATTGTTTGTACAATATACAGCTTGTTTTGCTCATTTGATCAGTTTCACAGTACGGAGTATTGTTTTCTGTCTTTTCTCATTTCGTTTTGTTTGTATAGAGCTTGTTCCACTCGTCTCATTTCCTCAAATTTGAGGTGCAATCCTATGTTTATATCACAATGGTACTATGATCAATTGGTCCACTTCAAGAAAGAAATTAAAAAATACTCACGTATATTGTCATGGTCTCTGCATGGGAGTGTTCCAAACGTTTCCACCGTTCATTTAAACGGTATTTGACACCTCATATGACGTTATATATCGAAACCTGCATTAGGCGAACACTGTATTAAGCGGACGCTAGAGCATTCCCAGCTATTACACGAAGAAGTATGACCACATTACGCCTATTTTAAAACAACTCCACTTGCTTCCAGTCAGTCATCGTATTATTTTAAAATTATGACTAATAATCAATAAAGCACTCAACGGGTTAGCACCTGCCTACATTCAAGATTTGCTAAAGCCATACGTACCGACCAGGACCTTGCGATCCTCAACACGGAACCTACTTGAAGTACCATCTGTTAATTTAGTTACCTATGGCCAAAGGTCTTTCTCTTTTGCAGCACCTCATTGGTGGAACTCACTTCCAGAGTATATTCGCAAAAGTTCCTCATTATCAGAGTTCAAAGCCAATATTAAGTCCTATCTTTTTAAACTTACTTACGGGAACTAGTTTTCTTTTTTTAACAATGTAATATAATTATCAAATATCTAATCATACATCTCGTTTTAAGTTTTAGAGATTTTAGTTTTTAGTACAGTTTAGAATTTTTAGGTAGGATTTTTATTCTAACTTTTAAGTAATTCATTAAGTATTCTTTTTATCATCATTCAATGTAAGTTTTTTAAAAGAATATTTATTTCGATCTTACGAATTCTATTAAGCGCTTTTGAGCGCTATATAAATAAAATTTATTATTATCATTATTATTATTAAAACTCAAACCGTCACAGGGCGCAGAGGAGTTATTTATGACAGCAAGCGAAGTGAAAATTTCTACTAAGGTTGGAACGTTCCATACCCCCATACAGCTGATCGCACGATCGCCTCTGTTTACTGTACTGACTGTAGAATCGACTACAAACTTGACCTATCAAACTGTCATGCGATCGTGTTACAAACCTGGTAAAATATTAATATCTAATCTTTGGTGGGAAACTAAAGTCGCCCGAAGGGCAATGCATTCGGAAACCGAAGCTTTCTGAGCAAGAGACGAGAGAAGAAACTAAATACCACTTGACTCATTCGATGTAGACCATTCTAAAAGCTTACGGGTCATGGAAATGGAAGTCAAAACGTGCCAAGCGGAAGTGCTATGCCATTACTAATTTGAAAATTCAAACAACAGCTGACTTCTATTCTCTCGAGTATGGAACACAATGTTCTTGGCAAATAGCAGTTTCTATTTCTAGAAAAAAAAAAAAAGACTTAGTTAGGTCCGGTCCAGACATTTTGAAGAAAACGAAAGAAAGTGTAGTCTTAACCTAGCCGCAATAAAAAGTTTAACGCTTTAAAGGCGCACAAAGAAAATCATTGCTATACTGCAGCATTTAGAGACCTGTCAGCAACACCGACAGAACAGGATCCTACACCACAGGAATAATCAATATACGTAATTAGAGCAGTTTCGTGACCTCTCAAAGCGAGAATAGCTGCTTAATAAAGTTTAGAACCATGCACTGTATAATAAATCTACCCGCTAGAGAGAAAAGAAAAAAATATCTGTTGCTCGAGCAAACTCTAAGGTCACGTTTCATACTATCATGTCACGAGCTTATGAGTCGTGTTTGGCCTGTCAACACTTTATTTCCTACTATTGTTTCTGGGTTGTTATGTAACTGATGATGTATTTCCTTGTGCCGTACCGGTCACTCCGGTCCACATCGTACGAAAGCACGCATCCAACGCTAAAAAATCGGCCCCTCGGAAATTAGTTTTAGCGAGGTCAGTGTTCAAATTTCCGATGGAAAGGGAAAAAGAATGTTGTTTTGGTGTCTGCTGAGAAAAATAGCACCGATTTATACAGAGACTGACGAATTATGGCAGGCTGAAGATTGGCCCAAAGTAGTTTCATCCCTTGTCTCTTCATTATATGTTAGTCACTGTTATTTTTCCTCGGTCATTACCTTAAGCGGTTTTTCAGAGGATTGGATAATGTTTTATCAGGTTTATAATGATCGAATGATCGAATGACGGTTTGGTCGATTCTACAGTACGTAAACTACAGTCAACAATCAAGGCCACAAATAACCCCTCTGCGCCCTGTGGAACCATGTTTTGAGAGCATGGCATATCGGAGAAAAAAAAAACAGTGCACTGCAGTCCAACACATTGAATGTTTGAGTTTCCCATTGACGTTTTGTAGACATAAAGTTTGTTTGTCATTTGAGGCTCATGCTGATTCTCAATTTTACTCAAATCTGACGTGAAAAAGCCTTACTTCTTAAAACAGTACATAAAAATGTACGCCCTTCTTTAAGTCCCTGTTTTTATTACTTTATTTTCTGGTTAATAATCTGGAACAATCGTTCACATTTTCACTGTACAGTCAAAGTGTTTTTCTCTTATTTTCGGTTGTTTGCTCCCAGCTCTTGATAACTTGAACTCCTGATAACCCAAACCTTTAGAGGAGTCCACTGTACTTGATCACTGGGGGACTATGGGAGTGATTGATATCACTTCAAGGGGCCATAACAACATATGCATTTTATCGGATTGCTTGGATCGGATCGGACTGGCACTTCACCTTAAATTTCTGCCAAAAATGGTCATGTTTCCATTCAAAGTGATAATTTGCTTGTTGGTTGTTGTACGACTGTCAGGGTTTCCGGTAAAGCAGATAGTTTGGTTTTTATGTTTGCAGTAGAGGACCGTGAAGAAGACTTCTTGTTAATTAAAATAGCTTATGTGAAATTTGAGGAGGTCAATTCACTTATCCCCAACAAGTCATCGCAATTGTACCTTTCTCAATCATTATTGCAACAATTTCTTAGTTGTCTCCTCTGAAAAAACCAATTCAATGATTTTTCCATCTCTAGACGCAGCATACAGATTGTAAATGGGATGAACTTAGTAAACACACCCATCAATAACTAACTGTTTGGAAATACGGCAATTAGCTTCTCGTTGGTCGGCATTATTTTTACTCTTATCTTTACTCATCGACATACTAGAGTAAAATAACATCTCTTCAAATAGCTTATCCTTCCAAGAAAAATCCCAAGGTCAAATTCCAGGAATTACCCCCATACCAGAATAAATTTCCAAAATATGTTTTCCCTCACTCAACCACTTTTCAAATCAAAAATGCTGACTCAGCAAAAGACACTAGTAGTTAGGGAAATGGCGAGCGAAGCGTGTATTGGCACGTGAGCCGAAGGCGAACATGTGCCAATACCGCCATTTCCCTAACTACTGAAAGCGATATGCACTGGATAAATCGCTATCCCTCGGATAAGTAATGCAAAGACCAATTACGTTATCCACTGGATAGTGATTTATCCAGTTGATAACGCTATCCACCTTTTCAAAAGCTGGATCCTGGTTATTAGTCCAGACATGTCTGGGCTAGTCATACATGTAGGTTCAACTCCTTTTGGACGAACTTTGGCCTGCCTGTGTCATCGTCCCTCAAAATAATTCTTCTGCCCAAAAGTGGTTAATGCTAGTCCGATTTGATCTGCAATCTGATCTGATCCAGAAACGCAAAACGAGAATTATTGAGGTAGACACTTATGCCCTATAAAAACCTGTAAAATGGAAAATAAAAATTTATTCCTTAATACATTTTGAAAAATAGGAAAAAAAATACATACTACTTATAATAATGATTATAATAATAGTAATCATGCATCATCATCATCTTCACTATATAAAGTCACCATTGAAACCACAAATTGCAATTGCATTGTTGTCAATAATTCATGTTAGCTTAGCCCAGGCATATTGAAAAGTGCATGCTGTTTATCTGCTGCTAGGTCCTTATCAGTGGAATTTTGGGTTATGTTGGAGCAAAAGATGCTGAAAACCCAAACAAATGCTTGGTGAGTGTTAGAAGTACAAATTAATTAGGTGATCATACCCTGGGTGCCAGAGACTTTCATGCGTGGTTGCCGGTTTCCGTCAAGTCTTTATAGTGACCCGCGCAAAAAGCCTCTGGACCAGAGCGCTATTGCTTTGATAGCGCCGAGCCAATCGCAAGCACAGTTTGGTCCAGTTTTTGGACACGATGGCTGATTGGTTCCTAACAACCACCTAAGGTACTTTGAATCTATTAATAGACGCTACATTATTGGTTGGCCAGAATAGGACACCACATGGAAGAATATTTCAAACTGTGCTGTTTATGTTAGGATAACAATGGATTCTGTTCTTGCTCTGCCGAATGTTTTGGAACAGTAGTGATGGAAAGTACAAGGCCTCCAAAAAATATTTCAATATTTCGATAATATTTCAAACTGTGCTATTTATGTTAGGATAGCAATGGACTCTGTACTTGCTCCGCTGAATGTTTTGGAGTAGTAGTGATGTTAGGTACAAGGCCTCAAAAAAAAAAATGTTTGACAGAGAGGAGAAGTGAAGCGCGAGGTAAATGTTGAACATGTTGAAGTTTTTGGAGCAAGCTAGGATGTTCTGGCGGCCTTGCAGCAGGGACACCCAACGACTACTTTCTGTAAAATATCTTTTCAGAGAAGCAAGCCTAGAATTTTCTATTACTTGAGGACGGCTAAAAATTTCTATATGACCGTTCCATTCATGTACCATTTTCGAAGCTTATTTAACAAATTCCCTACGATTTTCTGAAGTTTAATTTTTCGCATTTCACCGCCCAGGTTAGGCTATCTATCGTACAAAAAAAGGATACCTAAAACTTTCGGATTCAAAAACGTCGAGAGAGGAATCAGAAACCGAAATTCTCACTTTCGAAATACGTTATATTGCATCTAGAACTTTCGGGAAAATAATACTCAAGCCCTTGTAATTTCGAAAAGACTCGAGTTCCCCTGGGATGACCGAACGGGTACAAATTTTACAACGCCGCTTATAATGCATTACTAGAGATCTAAGAGAACTCTTGATAGCCTAAAAAGTGTTTTCAAGGTATTTACGAGGAAACCGTCGTTGGGTGCCCCCGTTGCAGGCTGCCGAATGGAATATCGTTGTCGTTACAGCTCTCCTGCTGAATATGGCAAATTTTGCTGGACTGTGTGTGCGATCAACGAGTATCCATGAGGGCCTAAAATGATTTTTTTGTGTGTCCGATTAATGCCCTTATTCTGAAATGGTACGGTGGAGATTTTGTTTGTTTATGCCAGCAATGTGAGCTTACAATAGTTGCAAATTATATTTTACATCGAAATTTGTCAAAATTATTACTCTTTTGTTTGTCTGAAATATTACTTCACGTGCCAGTCCGTATGATCACAGCTGGAGTTGTTTGATCTGATTGGTTCAAATGTAATGCGATTAAAAACAAGCTTAAAGTTCAATGGGGACGGTAAATGCATCACTCCATAATAGAGGTTTTTTCTCGTGGCTTCGCTGCTCGTGACTTCGCCTTTCACCGAAGATGTGTCAGCCGAAGCATCCTGCCGCATGCGACAAACCCTTTGGTACCCAGGGTAAGGTGAGAATTACGTGTGACTTGCCTTACAAGTTGCTCCATGTGGTTTCATACAAGAAGGAAACTGGGCCGAATGATTTTTGCAAAGGCTTCCGGGATTGTTACTGGGGACGCGCTGGTCAGCTTTCAGGCCAATTTTTCCACTCTCTCCAGTAACGGTCCCAGAAGTCTTTGCAAAACTTAACTTGGCCCAGTTTCTTCTCATTTCTAAAGTGGCGAATGTGGGTATCACATATTAGTTACCATTCTTAAGCCTGGTGTCCATATTGATCGTCCTGATCGCCCCAGTCGTTTCAAAAAATTTCGAGACGATCCGGACGACTCGGGCGATTAGTAGTTTCCATATCATCGTCTCGATCGCCTCAAATATGGAAACGCTCATATGGAAACCAGGCTTTATTGTTAATATGAATTATGATTCTTGATAGAAGCTTTTCATTCTGACTTAAATCTGCATTTGTAAACAGATTGGATGTTTCATGGGATTCTCCATCACTGTTTGTGTCATGACTGGAACCATGTTCATCTGCTACTGCATTGCTCTTGGGGAATTCAATCAAATCAACCGCTGCTATTATTATAGGACCTATGATTACTATGATTATGGTTACTCGACAAAGAAAAAATGTAACTTAGAATCGACGCGCTATAACCTTTCAGTTGGTACAGGATTGGGCCTGGGTTCCCTCCAACTGATTTATTCCATTGGGCTGTTCGTTGTTGCCCTTGCTTCGTCCATCTACTGCTGCAAGGCAATGTGCTGTGGAGCTTCTGCTGTAGGAACTGTAAGTAACATGATTCTCATTTTGTTTACCCTTCTTGTGCTCATTACTGTGTTAGATTGAATTACAGTCAAAGCATGTCAAGCGTTCCAGGCGCTAGTGGACTAATAAATTCATGAATGGAAAAATGATTCGGTTTGTAGATTCAATAATCCATTCATAAAATGAATAATCCAATAGTCAAATTGGACCTCGATTCAATAATTAAATGAACAAAATCTACCTGTTCTTTATTCTTGTCTTGTGTTAAATCGTATTTGCTTGCCTTTTCGTACCGTTTACGATTGCGTTTTTCATTGCCTTTAATCAAAATAACAGCTAGAATAGACAGACCGCAAACTCAAAGAATCTGACAAATTAGGCTGAGGATCGAAGTCCAACAATCTCTGCACATACACTGACCTCAGTTTCACCATCGTGTTTTCTAGGAGATCAGGTCTGTTGCACTGATTACTGGCAGCAAAATGGCGAATATGTAACAGTTTGTTTGGGTTTGTACTTCAGAACTCGCCCGCACTCGACTCTTAAAAAAAAAAAATTAAGAATAAAAAACAAAATTCTGAGGTCTACCTGTGGAATGTTTAGTTTCAAAATTCGATTATTGAATGGAGGCTGAATATGAATATTGGATTGTCATTTTATAAATGGATTATTGAATCAACAAACGAAATCATTTTGCCATTAATGAATTCATTAGTTCGTTAGCGACGGGCACGCTTGACCTGCTTTGACTGTAAACACCTAATTATCCACTTCCTTCATGGCATTTTTCTTGGATAATGAAACAAATAATTATATGAAACATGGGAAGTTGAAGTAAAGAACCCCTACTGATAGGAAGCGAACGAGTTGGGTATTTTACAAGCATGGCCAAGGATCTTCACTATAAGTACCAAGAACAAATCCAGTCAATAACAATAACAACAACAATCTTTATTTGTACTCACTCTTGCTCAAAAATAAATTACGACAATGAAATTATTAAAAGTAACAATTAGAGTACTGGCTCCCTGGAATAACCATAGAGGCTAGCGGAGCCAGGCAGCCAGTTGACATCAGCATTAAATAGAAATAAATTAAAGGTCAGCAAGAAAACTGAAGCACAAATGCACAAATAAAAAGAAAGAAAGAAAGAAAAGAGAGAGAGAGAAGAGGAAAAACTCTATTTCTACGCTATGAAGGAAGTCTAAAATAGTCAAATTTATATATGAATACAAATCATTAATATAAGAAGAGCACACAATAGCTATGGCAACTAATCACTAATAACAAGTTATATATTAAACTATAGAACAAAAAACATTGAGACTTGGAAAGGTGACAGAATTTAACAAAAGGCTAATTTCCAGGTAATTTGGGAAACAACACAACTGCTAATAAGAATACCAGTAACTAATAATCTTTGACAAGATCGCTTTTTACAACAGGGGTCTTTTTTGCATGAGCATGCGCGACCGCTGACTTGTCAAAGAGCACGCGACCAGTGACGGCGACCGTGCTGCAAAGTTATAGGAACCAAATTGTTCACTTTGAAAGCTTGCTTGAGATTGAAATGGTAGCAGGAACTTAGGAAAGACCTTCGTTGTACAAAATAAAAAAAGATCTGTCGATTTAAAGTGGAGACTGATGCGCTGAACGAGGTGAAAGAGCAAGTTTCTCAAGGATGTCTGACGCGAACATGGCTGCTTCTTGTTGTTTGGCGCTCGACTCCTGTCTTGATTCCCCTTTAAGAACCGCAAAGTTTGGCATAGAATGCATTGCGGATGCGTAGCTATTGAGCAAAATGTTTTTTATTTAGTGTTTGTCTATAAATCGGATGTAAATCAGTTTCTCGATGCCGTAGAGGATTTCTGTCAATAATTTGTTAATAGCTGATTTAGCCATATTTTGGGAGTGGATTAATAACGATCAGCGGGCGACTACCACGCCGTTTTCAGTTGGAATAGAAAGTTTTTGCCTTAAGTATTTTAGCGATACACAGTTTGTTTAAAGGAAAATTGTAGAACGTCTTGTTTTTGCGTGGACTAACATTGTAACGTATCTTTTACAGGAATTTGCTTTTAGCCAGAACTTAAATGTTCTAATGATTTTTAACTTTTGGTCGCCATCACATGTTTACTGTACTTCTTGGGAACCCTAACCGTTTGTTTCATCAAAATCGGTCACAAGATTGGACTTTAATTTCGGTCCTATTGAATGCAGTTTTGACTGTGTCTCATTGATATTCATTTTTTTTATTGTTCGAGACATACAGAGTGACTACCACCAACATCTCACCAGGTGACTAATTTACGTCTCGTGTGCTCTTAATTTTGTAGCTTTAAAGTGCTGGGAAAATTGTAGAACATATATTAATTCACTGCTGAACTGAACATCGGCTTTCGCGCACTTCGAACCCACTCGCTGAAATTTGCTATGTTTTTTTTTTTAAATATTTCTCTTCCTTTCCCATTTCAAAACAAAGAAAATTGAAAGTGTTTACTTGCATCAACAAACGTTTCTGCACTTTGTTTAGACTTTGATGAGGTCAGCGCAATCCTCCAGGCACTACATATACGCGGGCTGTTGTCCAGGTCAAGCGGGGAGATGAAATTTGATAGTAGCTCGTGTATGTTAAAGCCGGTCTACTTCGCTTTTGTTAAGACCATGTTAGAGTTTCTTTTTGCAAACTACACATTTTTTGTTAAATCACGAGCACATTCGCCAAGACCAACGAGCAAAATAATCGCTATGATAGCTTTGAGAACGCGCCATTTTGATGAAGGCAAACCCTGTGGTGAGCCTCCATGCACATCGCTTGTTCAGCGGTCGCGCATTCTCACGCAAAAAAGACCCCTGTTGCGTTTTACTGATTCCTTGAACTTTGAAATAGAGAAGGTTTTCAAATTTTCACCGATTGAGTTCCATACTTTGGGGCCCTTTAATCTTATGTTGAATATTCCATAATTTGTTTTTACTTTAGGTAAAGTATAGAACATATTCGAGGCACTTCTTGTATTATAGTTATGTCTTTTATTGACTTGTGTGAAAAAAGTATCAAACACAGATGGTAGACGTCTATTGTGAAATTTATACATAAAAACTGCAATATTAAGAAAGACAAGGTCAGGCAGTTTCACAATATTTAAGTGTTTGAAAATTGGACTAGAGTGCTCATGAAATTTAGAGAAAGTCATCACTCACATTGATCTCTTTTGTAAAGTGAACAAAGGCTGGACGGTTGAATAATAGGTGTTACCCCAAGAAATTAAACCATAGGTTAAGAAGGGATACATACATACATTCATCCTTCATTATCTTTCCTTAAACAAGGCTTTTCAAAGATAATTACAAAAAGTATAATTACAAACAAAATGAAGTACAGTAAATATGTAAAAAGTGGATTGGTAAAATTATCCAAGAGGTAAATTTTTTTTTTTTTTTTAAGCTTGCGAGCGGGCAGAACCCTCCAAATCCTGCAATCTGATTGTTCCGACAACGGGCGGTTTTTTACGATCTAGTCCGTTGGCAGCTTCATTCACAAGTTTGTTTGTTGTTCGTGAATCAGCAAAACCCGTGATTTTTAACCATTTTTCTTTTAAAACTTGCGCTATTATTAGCATTAGCTAGGGAAAAGTGAATTTTGTTATACAGACAAAAAATCTGAACGAAAAATCAAGCAAGTCAGCCAGGAAAACCGCTAAAGTAACGCAAAACAGGTGGCTCGTGATGTCGCTTCAGTAGCTTTATAAACTACGCTGTAAGTACTGCAATCTTGCTTTTATGCACCCTTTACTCGACATTTTTGCTGTCTGAATCTAGATTCTGCCGTTTTTCATGGAATTTTGCCTTGCTAGTTTTCTACTTTTCAGAAAAGGTTGTTGTCAACGATTGCATTAATTTAGCTTTCAATCTTGAACAAACAACACGAACAACTTTTCCAACAGTCGGTTATCGCCGTTTTCATTTCTTTGTTTATATACTTGTTTAGTTACCCACATCGCCTTCCTTTATTCGAATTCAATTTAAAACAGTAAGATTGGTATGTTTAATTAGCTCTTTTTATAAAACCTTTGTGCAGTTTTTATCCCGCTCGATTGAATTTTAATCTTAAAGTAAATATTCAGCCGGGGAAAGTCTTTGTTGTATTTTCTTTCCTGTGGCTTTTAAGTTCGTCAATTCTTTTATCCTTGTTTGACACTCAGATTATGAATTATCTACCAAGACACAAAAACCTTTCTTTATTCTAAAAGAGAGCTTAATTGTGATAATATAAATTACAAGTTCAAGAATCGTGATGTAATGTTTTGTTTTGGTTTGCAATCGATCGCGCGCTTTGAACATCAACACGAACGCACCCTTCTTCAACACACATAGGTTGGAGGCTGAAGTAATATTTTCCTGAAACTTTTAAATCTCAGTAGGACAAAAAAAATGCTATTCACCGGCCTAGGTCGGTCCGTATTGGGAGAAACTGTGCCTTGGGTCTGAGTACGGCCTCGGGCGATACGCAAGACCTCTGGCACCGTTTCTCCCAATACGGACCTCCCAGCCGGTGAATAACATATATATATATATATACGATCGTCCATAAAATACAAGAAACATCGTTTATAAAGTTCTATGCCGAGCAAAGTATTCTACTTTTGAGCTTTCGTTTGAAGCTTAAAACATCTTTGCTTAGTTTTAATTCATTGTGCAATGAGGGATATATTAAGGCATAATATAGTTTAACCAGAATATCTGAATTCACATAATAACGAAGTTTAGAAAGAATCCCAATATTTCGCTTAATCTTTTTAGCAATATAGCTTACTTGACTTTTGCATGATGAATTAGAATCTATTATAATACCTAGATATTTTATCGAGTACTCTTGGTTTAAATTTATGCCATTTAGGGAGAGTGTGACATAAAAGGGTAACCGAGCTCAACAACAATTTCGTTCGTATCATCCTGCGTGTCACTAGAAGTCTTTGGAATACCCCCGATTTCCAAGCAGTCTCGTCTCGAGTATTGTTCAAGTTCGTTAAATGATTCCTTCAAAGCTCTTAACTGATTTGTAATATCCAGGAGCTCAGCTTTTAGACTCTTGTTCTCATTGTCCAGTTCTGTCATTCCTTTTTAATAGGCTGACATTTTTGTTAGTAGTTGGTCATATTTAGAGTTAGCAGTGGCGATAGACTTCTTCACTTCGTCAATCGATTTGCGTAGAGGCTCTAAAGCCTTCTCCAACAAATTCTTTAATTCTTCTGTCTTAAGACCTCTCATAACGGTACGTAGATGAATTAAGACATGTAGCACGAAAAAAGAAAAAAAAAAGAGGAAAAGGCAGCTTTGATAAGCTAAATTCACTGTATTTTTAACGAAGCTCAAAAATTACCGCCATCTTTCTCGCTGACTGCTGGCCGCTGATGTCATCGCGATGTCAGCTTAAGGTGATGTTACACCAGACGATTCGCAACGACGATTTTTAGCGCAACACAACGTTGCAACATTGTTTCGAATGGTTACAACACTGTTCCAACATTGCAACGCTGTGTTGCGCTAAAAATCGTCGTTGCGAATCGTCCCATGCAATATCACCTTTAGAATGTCAGTCAGCAGTTAGGATGGGAATTGAACTAGTGGCCTCCGCATTACAAGTTGCTCCTTCACTCAGTTTTCTCTAAATCCCCAAAATGTGTTGCATATGTGGCTTAACCCTATAAGTCCCAAGAGTGACCAAAGTCAATTTTCTCCTTAAAGGGACACAGTCAGCTATGGGACCGCGCTGACCTGGACACCACTTTTGCCAGTTTGAAAAGCGTTTACCTCAACCCGAAATCAAATCTACGCGTCGGATACATATAAAAATCCGCTTCAATCCTGCCTAGTGTTTCATTCGATCCTCGATCTTTCACTGAAAATCTCTTTTTGAGCAAACTTTTAATCATCCTATTACATTATTTTATCATATTTGGTTAAAAACAGTATTCAAAGGAACATGAACAGAAGAGGTGAGAAACGCGTAGGCGCCGGGCGATAGAAATCGCCTTCGTTTGCCAACATAACAAGAGAATTGAATCAGTAACATTGGCGAGCAAATAATCGTTATATATATTTCGAAAATAGATGGAAAAGGTGCCATATATTTGGAAAATCAAGCTTTCTCGACCGTGACACTTCGACAATGATTAAGACTTCGTGCAATTTCACACCTCTACTGATGTTCGAATTCGGAAGTATTCGTCGATGTTTGGCGGTGAATTCTCAATGGTATATAAAAAAAATAAGTGCTCTGATATGGCGTAGGGCCTATAATCACGATTTCGACTTGTACCTAGTTCAACTCTACAAGGTTTGTTTAGAGTATTCCGGATACGCTTTTGTTTCACTCGCGTCTTGTGACATGCAAATCAGCTAAGAAATGGTATCTAATGCGCCTGTACATCAGCTGACTGTGACCCTTTAACAATATCAGTACACAATCAAGAGAATGGGTTGTGAGAATTAAAAAAATAATCACCTGAGCGAAAATGCTCTGATCTTTTATCAAATTCTCTCAACTTTTTCTTTATAGAATTGTATAGAGATCAGTTTGGAGAATTTGCATGTGGATAGTGGGGCTTAAAGGGTTAAGTATGCAGATCTCTTCTTGAGAGTCTTACAAGGAACAATCTGAATTATTGAGAATAATAATGTGAACTGTTGACGAACTAGTTGGAGGGTAAAATTAATAAAATGAGGCGAAAATAACTCTAGGTTCCTTATTAGCTTCTGAAATTTGGATAAGCTTCCACCATTTGGGTCTCAGTGGCAATGAGACCTGTTTAGTAGCAATTCAACTGTATATTAGTTTTAAATTAATTTTATTTATTTTGGAAACAAACAAAAAGAAAGATTACATAGCTCTGTTAGCCCACGTAAGAAGTGTTTAGAAATCCTTACCAATAAATATTTAATTGCTGCCCTCGAGTAAGCACAACACAAGGAAAAAAAATTAAAATTCAATAAATGCATATCGTATTATTTTCCTCCTGAGAAGGCGTGGTGGTGGCTGACACTTTGATCTTCATATCTGGAGTTCTTGGTCCCTTAAACAAAAAGCTTTGCTCTCTTTATCTCTCTTCACCCAAGTGTATAAATACATACAAGTAATATAGTGTGGGGGTACCCGGCAATGGACTGGCATCTTCTCCGAGGGGGAATTAGAATTTCTCCAACGTGGTATTTTTCGTGCTTAGAATTACCATTTATTCGATTAAGTATCCAGCCTCAAATACCGGGCACCCACCCCCACCAAGAACAACTGACCTTACTGAAAAATGAGATTGAAATAATTGACATAATGCTACTAAAAGAGTTTCCCACAGATCAAGCCTTTTTAAGTATTTTAAAGAAACTTTCAGTCAACAGCTGAAATTCTACTTTTGTACATCTTCACATTTTATTGTCAATTGTGTGTTTTCACATGATGTCATGGCGGCCATATTTGTGTCCCAAACCAGTCCTGTGGGAGTTGAACTCTTTTCTTATGTAAACGCTTTCTTTTGTTCCAATAACTTTACATAGATACTGGCCACAAGAGTGAAAACACAGAATTGTTTTGTTGCAAAGTAAAGTTAGTACTTGCTGAAAGTGATGACAAATAACTTATTAAGCCCCCGGCCTCGTATAAGCGCCCACCTCAAAAAAGTGCCCACCCTAAGGGCCAAACATTTTATAAGCGCTGAGGGTGCTTAACCTAAATTTATAAATAGGGTTAAAACTAGGGTTAAGTGTAGGCCGTATGTACTTCTTTACCTTCACCGTACCTTCGTCCTATCTTACAAATAATTTTATCATTCGTTGCAAAAGTTTTCTTCTTTTTCATTGGCCGAGAGCCCACCACGTGACCTGCAAATAACTGCCTACGAATAATGGTCTGCTCATGCGCAATGTTGTCCAGCTGTGTTTGGCTGCAAATAATATTCTGCTCATGCTTAAACGAAAGCACGCTTTACTCCTTCTTGCGATCGCTCTTGCGTAAAGAATGGCAGATCGCTTAAAAAACAAACTTGGTGATCGAATGATAAAACAATTATTGAAAACTGATTATCGCAAAATATCGTGATTTGTCAGTGTCTCGCAGATCAATTATTTGCCTCAGCCTTCAGCTTCAGCTAATAATTAATCTGCTCGCCACTGACAAATTAGGATATTTTGCTTAACCTTGTCCAATTATTGTTAAATACTTTTGTTATTATAAATTTAATGTAGGTTACCAACCAGCAAGTGATGTATGTTAGACCTCAACAAACGTACCCAGGGGGCCAATCTGGTTTTGTGGTTAATCAACCAAGCGGTGTCGCAGCAACTGTGTCTCATGGTTACCCAATGGCAGGACAGCAAACATTTATCATACCTTCACAGGTAACAAATGCCAACAACAACAAACTAAGTGAAACACAAAAATAACTGCTTATACGAAGAAAGAAAGAATAGAAGGTATTAAAATAGAATAAGACAGCATATACAGGTGTAATAGTAGGAACAAGTGGGCAAACATGAAGAAGACTGAAATAGATGTCAATTGTGGTTTTTGTGACTACTGCGCATACGCCAGTAGTCACTATTGCCATCAAGTTAGTTTTCCGAAAGTAGGCAAGAACGTCATGGTAAGCCAAAGATGTAGATCCGTATTCCTCTATTGTCCTGATCTATTGTCCTCTATTGTCTTCTATTATATGTGCTCTAAGTGTGAGCTAGCATGACGTTTTGGCCCGAAAGTAACTGAGTAACAAGAGAATATGCTTCGAAGCCAATCAGCATACAAATATAACCAATTTTCGGATTCATTTGTCGCGACGATGATTTGTCGATAGTCCTCGATGACAAACGAAATGCTCGGCTGCCTAGTGGTCCGCTTTGATGGCTTGTGGGACAAGTTTCGCGTATTCACGTTTGAAAAAATGTTGCCGTGCATTCGAATGAAAATCTAGCGAAATACATCATTTCTCAAGAAGCGTATCTTCACTTCTCATCTTCAAAATAAGTCTAGAAACCACCATATTTGTATAATAGATTTCTCCGCCCCAAATCAACTCCTGTGAAAATATGATTGTGTAATGAAATTTTGGAGTAGACTTTCGGTCACAAGCTAGGCAACGAAGGATCACAGGATCAGGTTTCATCAAAGATGTTCATTTTCTTCAAGCAACTAGGCAAATGACACGCAATTTGCAACACACGTAGTAAAGAAACAGAATATTTTTCCAGTTTTTGTTCTTTAAAAATTATATTTAAACTAGAAATACGTGTATCACAGAACCTCCTGGGGGGGGGGGGAGGCCCATAAAATGTCAGGGATGAAAGCGGGGGAGGGAATTGAAGGAAATTGTGAAGCTTGGGAGGGCGGGTTTCAACACTGGCTCTAATATTGGAAGGTGAGATTTGATTAATCTCTATTTGGTTGGAGTAAATTTGAACCCAGTGCTCTGACGTTGAAAAGGATTTTCTGGGATTGAAATGTGGTTGGGGTTGTTAAGGAAGGATAGGCAATGTTTCATAGGTCCCAAGTTCACCCCATTTCACCCTCCTATATGTGTAATTACAGTCAAAAGGAAATGGGTACGGTGTGATAGTGAGTAACTGCAGGTGAATATGCCGCTAACAGTAAGGTGCAAACATAATCATTTACACTAAAATAGAAATTACATGTAGCAATGCCATTAATGATGCAATTGAGGAGAATTGTGAAAGTGATCATGACTCATGATTCTTGAATTTGTGGTACCCTCATTAGCACTGAATTATCCCTGTAAAGACTACCAAATCATTTATGAAAGTGTTCATAGTTATTTGTGTACATGCATGAAAAACAAATACCCATGCAAGAGTGAATTTGTATGAAATGTCCACAATCATACAAGTCATGTTGAAGGTGATCAGTTTCTGAATTCTCAACATGTAAAGTAAAGTAAAACTTTATTGAATCTCCCAATCAGGGTTTTTCAGACCCAAAGTACATAAGCATATATATAATTCATATTAAGGTAAAATGTCTAGACGTTAAAATTATAATAATAGATAAAAACTAGCTGACAAGAAATGATTCGAAAAGGAATTCTCTAAGTTTCTTTTTGAGAGTACACAGGCTATCTGCAGCAGTGATCGCACGTGGTAATGAGTTCCAGAGTTTAATTGCTCTATATAGAAAAGTTCGCTGACCCGCGGCCGATTAATAAGCTGGAATATTAAGATAGTCCTTATTTCTTGTGTTGCGATCATGAACAGTAGATCTTGTTACAAAACGATCACTCAAGTAACTAGGTGCTAGCCCTTTCACACACTTAAACGCGAGAGCGCCTACCGTATACGTCAAATAATAACTCACAGGGAGCCAGCGTAACTTCTGAAGAACCGGTGTTACACGATCAAATTTACGTGTATTAGGGATTATTCTTGCAGCGAAATTCTGGATTTTTTGCAGCTTTGACATATTTTTCTTAGTTGTGCTAGACCATACTGGAGAACAATAGTATAATTTGCTAAACACCAGCGCATTTATAACATTCTCCAATGTCCTGGTACCGAGAAGATGTCTCACCCTATTTAGGAAACCCTACATCTGCTTGTTTAATTTCTTGAAACAATATTCTGCCAATGGAACATGCATGTTTAACTTCGGCAGATATGCAGAAATATGTCACCTCCCTCTGACTTCTTTGTGAGAGTTAAATTTTCCCTGACTTATACTGAAATTCCCTGACTTGTTAAAGTGTCCCTTACGGGTAAAAGAATTAATTTTCCTGGCATGGTAACACGTCACACACTACTATTTTGAGGAGATCCGAAATACAGATGTTCTTTTCGAATTATTTAGTAGGAGACCAGCAATAATAAATTTTTGTTATGTTTGACTTAAGACACAGTTGTGTTTATGAATAAGGCTGCTATACATAAATATATATTTTTATTTGGGATGGTTTTGGGGAAGTAAATGTTTTGAAAATTGTAAACGAAAATTTTGTTTCTTTGGCGTTCTCCAGAGGAGTTTCGGTGGAAAATCTTCGCCGGCAAGGATTTCCACACACTTGATGTGCTTGTTGTTCGATGTAATTTGCACGGGAAATTGCTCGTGAAACATTCTTTCACAGACGATGAATAAGCACATCAGCGTGAATAAGCACGTCGGCTGCAAAGTCTGTGTTGCCTGGAAACACAAAATGTTCCATGACGTAACGCTACATGACGTCATTGGCGGACAGCAAGATATATGTGAATAGTAAAGGCTGGTTTTCACTAGCGACGGAGTCGGAGTCGGAGTCGTAATCAGAAGCGTAGAGCTTATGATCTAGTGAAAACAGCGTTCAGATTCCGCTTATGACTCCGTC